CCTGTCACCAGCCGCAGCCAGAGATTTCGGTGGGAGCTGCCAGTGCTGGAGCTGGGGCTGGGCAGCACCCACTAGAATGGTTTGGGTCGTTCCCCTTTGCAGCTGAATTTAGGCTCTGTGAGCAGGAAGGGAAAGGATGAGGGGTTGCATCACTCCGGGCAGCCCTGAGAGCGGGACCCCAGGGTCCGCAGACAGAGCTGTCACCATGAGAATGCTGTGAGATATTTCTGGATAAACGCACCCATCACTGCCCACGCCCTCACCGCTGCTGCAGCGCCTGGGAATGGCTGGCAGACCCCTGGCGGTTTCCTGGTCCCTCCATTTCCCTGTGGGGGGGACACTTGGGCATGGCATGAGCTGAGGCACGCTGGGTGTCCCCTGGCTGCACTACCTGGCAAGGGGTGGTGGAGGCACATTAAAGGTTGGCACTGGGCCACTTTCCCAGGGCCTGGGAGGGAGCAGAAAGGGGATAATTCCAGTGGGACATAAAGCAGTGGGAAACATTCGTGAGTGACAGCGAGACATGCAGGGAAATCATCCCCAACCCACGCTGGGGCTGGGGCTGAGCACTGCCAGGGCCCGCGGGTTGTCCCGCTGTGGGCTGCCGGAGGCCATGCTGTGCTCCGGAGGAAATGTCGCTTCCTTTGCCGGCCGGAGCTCCACGTCCCGCCCTGCCCGGCTCCCTCCCTTCCTGCCCAGGCACAGTGTCTGGCCCAGGCCCAGGATGGCTTCAGCACGAAGCAGGGTGGCTGATGGGGCTTCCAGCCTTGGAAACATCACCCTGAGTTGGGGGCACAGGGCTCAAGGACACCTGCATCTCCTCATTCCTGGAGAAGGGCCGGAACACCCATGGGTGAGACTCATCAGAGGAGTGCCTGTGCCAGGGGGGTGATTTACAGCAGCCCCAGCCTTTGCCCCACTCCCAGGAGCCTTGCAGGTCCCTGCCCTGGCTGGGAACTGCAGCGGTTAGAGCAGGCTGACGCCTTCCCTGGCCAGGCTGTAAACCACGGTGCAAAGCAGAGACTGTTTGCCCTCAGCCAGTGCTCAGCTCTGCCCTGGGACTGCTGGATGAGACCGATGCTGGGGCATCGCCCAGGGCATGGAAGGGAAGATGGAGTAGGAGCAGAGCCTCCCATCCCTGCAGTCCCCCATGTCCCATGGGTCAGCTCCCCGCCACCCCACCCCACGCAGACACAGGGACAGAATCGTACTGCCAGGACTAAAATGATTTATTTCTTAACCAAGAGGTGGATCCTACAGGGCTTGGCAACATGTGAGCATACACACCCCTGCATGCAGCAGCACATGTGCACTGGCTGTTTCAAGCCCCCATGCTATCTGGCAGGACATTTTGGGATGTGGGGTGGGCAGCAGGTAGAGGCATCCCACACCCTCCCTGCCAAGCACAGGGCACCCTGTCCACATGTGACACCTCCCTTGGGCCATGTAGTCAGAGTCATCCCCATTTCATATCCCCAGATCCTGTTCTCTGCGGGCTGGGGAGCAACAGGTCTATGCCAGGTGCAACCTGGCTTCAGTAAGAGAGGACGAAGGCCCTAGTCAGTGGGTCTAGCACACACAGTATTGTCACTTTGTCCCCAGAAACCATCCCATACCTCCTCTTCACATTCTTCCTGGGGCACTGCCAGCACACATGTCCCCCAACCCCGCCAGCCTGTGGCAGGATCCTCAGTGCTTGAAGCCCCCTCACCCCCCCTGCCCAGCTGCAGCACATGGCAAGCGAGGGACATATATATAGTAGCACAGGAAAAGAGATGGGAACTTGTGGTGCAGCTTTGCAAACAGCCACAGTAAACAATGGCAGGACAGCTCATGCCTCTCCTGCTCTGCCAGCTTGCACTGCCACCCGGCCCCTGCTGTCTTCCTGGTGTGTCCCAGACAGCCGAGTCCCGGCATCAGTGCAGGTCGATGTTCTCATATTCCAGGTTGTCTGAGTCCTCCAGCTCAATGCCGGGTACCAGGTTGTAGTAGTTTGTTGATTGACTCATGTAGATCTTCTCCCGGTCAGCAGAGTCCTTCAGGACTTCGCTCACACTGACAGTGTCCACCTCTGGCTCGCTGCCCCCCAGCTCCTCTGCCCTCAGTGCCGGCGTGTCCTGCTGCCTGCCCGGCCCCATGCCCCGCTGCCTTTCATGGCCTGGCACCTGGGAACTGCTAGGGGATCCCACGTGGATCTCCACCTCCTCATAGAGGTCTTTGCCACTCTCTAGCAGATCCATGGAGGGCTGGAGCAGGACCTGGCTCCCCAGCAGCACCTTCTCAGTCTCGGAGGGAACAGCGGGCAGCTCATACGAGACATAGTGGTGGGGCTCTGCAGGTACTGGCATGCTACCCCTCTCTGCTGTGGCCAGGTGGCTCTGGGACCTGTTTTGAAGTCTGTAGTTGGTCTTTTTCTTCTGCCTGCAGAAGCACCAGGTGATACTGGCAAGGAGGAGGAGAGGGGGCAGGCAGATGAAGAGGGCAGTGAGGCTGTGCGAGCGGCACAGCTCATGCCGGGGGATGCTCTGGAGGTCCACACCATGGTACTGCTCTGGTGTGTGGCAGATAACCTCAGTGGTGAGGCTGGGCCAACCCTCTAGGTTGCTGAGCAAAGCACAGCTGCAGTCCCAGCTGTTGTTAGACAGCTGGAGCTGGAGCAGTGATGGCTTCAAGAGGCTGGCGGGAAGGAAGGTGAGAGCATTGAAGCCCAGGTAAACCTCCTGGACCTGGGTTGATGCTTTCAGGAAGGACTTGGGCAGCTCCTGGAGTAGGTTGCTGTCCAGATAAAGGACCCTCAAATTAGGGGCATCTTCCAGAAAGCTTCCAGGAAGACTTTCTAGCAGGTTGTGACTTAAGTGCAAGATTTCCAAGGCAGGGGGGACTCCCTTTGCGTTGCTGATATCTGTGATGCCGCAATGTGAGAGGTAGAGCTCCCGCAGTCCCCGCACCCCTAGCAGCGCGCCCCAGTCCAGGTGGGTGATGTTGGAGCTGGTGAAGTTGAGGCAGCAGCTCTCGAGGAGAGGAGCCTCCCGGAAAGCCTGGAAGTCCATGGGCTCCGTACAGTTGCAGCTTTGCGGTGCTGCGTCGAGGGCGAGGCAGGCAGCGAGCAGGAAGCAGCCCCAGAGGGATGCGGTCCCCAGCCCAGCGCCTGCGGGGAGAGCAGAGGGGACGGGTGACACACCGGCGGGACCAGCTCTCCCCTTGCTCCAGCCCGCTTCTCCACCCGCTCAAGGAAAGCCA